TGTCAATTTTAGGCTCAAACTTGTTCTGAAAAACACATATTTATGCAATAAATTAAGAACATGCATTAATTGTTTTAATATTTTCATGAACTTGAAAACACATAACTTTATTTTTCTTTAACCTTTGGAACTTTTTCACTTCATCTACAATCTAACATCTGTCTTCTTTAAAATGAGACCAAGCTTAAATCTGTGCACCAAAGTGTTGAAGCATTCATTTAACTGAAAGTGTCATATTCATGTCGAAAAACGGGCAAAAATTAAGGAAATGAGACAATGGGTTTACTCACTTTTAAAAAAAGTAAATTAACTAATCACTTCATGAAAGAATGTATATTTTTTACAACTTTGTGTCAAATATAATAAGTATCCGCTACAAATATTCAACTATTCTGCATATCCTTTTATTAAAAATTAAGAAAATCAATGATTACATTTTTTGATTTTGACATTCAACAGGGTCAACAAGATTCAACTTAAAGAGGCAATACATATTATACACTGAAGGCAGTAAATAAACAAAGCTAAAAGCAAAGTAAGAAGTGTTTATTTCAGTGCATGACATTCAGTTTCGAAGTACACAGGAGCGCTTTTTACATAGCAGAAGCCATCAGATGTGTTAAAAGAGCTCAATTAACTGAACGTAGCTTTTGCCAATTTTCATGGATTCCTGTTTGGAGCAACGAGCAACTCAACATTATATATATAATCTCAGTAATATCAGTAATTCAGTATTCAGTGCAGCAGTCGGCAACGTTTCTGACATTAAGTGCAATTTTAATTAAGTGCTATTTGAATACATTTATATTGATTTTCCCAATCTGTTTTCCATCTTTTAATAATTGTATGGGGGTCAAAGATGAGAAATATCCTTTGTGTAATAATAAAAATAGGTAAGTGACATAGAGGCTATTAAATGCCAGTAAAGTGCCTAATTTATTTATTCAAATAACTTCTGTACAACAAATTGAGCATACGAAATATGAAATCAAGACCCATCTATTGTTTGGAAGACAAATATAAAGGCTGAAAATGGTAATAATAAATATTTTGTGGCCAAAATGTGAAACTGTCAATAAATAGCTTTTAAAATGCCTTCATTGTTGTAAATATGCCTTAGAAGACACGATTTACACTGCATGACATTCTGTAAATCATGGTAAATGTAGGATTATTATTTTTTTTAATTCAATGGAAGTCAATGGTTACAGGTTTTCAGCTTTCTACAAAATATCTTCTTTAGTAGAAAAAAAGAATTGTAAAATAGTTTGGAACCAATTGACGTTCTGTTAATCATGGTAAAAAATTAAAGATTGTTATTTTTTTCATATATTTTATAAATATATGAGAATAAACTACATTAAAAGGTGTCTTTGGACGCTTGAAAACATACACGTTATTTGTATTATTTGGTTCAGATGGTTCAGGATTTGTTCATATCAGTCTCTAACTTAAACATCTCAAATATGGACTAATATATATATATATATATATATATATATATATATATATATATATATATATATATTTATTCATTTTTTCTTTTTCCTTTGGCTTAGTCTCTTTATTCATCTAGGGTCACCACAGCGGAATGAACCGCCAACTTATCTAGCATATGTTTTACACAGCGAATGCCCTTCCAGCTGCAACCCAGTACTAGGAAACATCTATACACACTCATTCACATGCACACTACGGCCAATTTAGTTTATTCAATTCTCTTAAAGAGACTGTTTTCGGACTGTGTGGGGAAACCGGAGCACCCGGAGGAAACCCACGCCAACACTGGGAGAACATGCAAACTCCACACAGAAATGCCAACTGACCCAGTAGGGAGTCGAACCAGCGACCTTCTTGCTGTGAAGCGACAGTGCTAACCACTGAGCCACCATGCCTCCCCACTTTCATAAACTATAGTTCAATCCTTTTTAGTTACATTTGCTGGAGTGTCTGACTTCAACATCTCAAATATGAATAATATTGATATATAATCTATATTATACATACTATTTTCACTCTGAAGGTTGCCAACCACTGAACACCGAATCCTATTCAACAATTCTGTCATTCTGAAAAACAGTATTGCACTAAATTCAAATCTCTTAATAAAAAAAGGCATCGGACTTACCAAAACACATCTGTAAAATAAAGGCACTGTCAACAAAATCAAATCGTTTGCATTTGTAAAGTGCATGTACAGTGTTTGCATCCCCGTTTCCCATAACTCCGAACGAAGATTCGGATGTAAAGACAAAACGAAACAAAAACGAGTCCGTACATTTAACCCACAAACAGGAAAAAGAAGAATTTGGAGATAATCTAAACCCAAACATTTCCAACTTACCTTCAGTTACAGTGGTAGCAACAATTAATGCATTGTAATAAATTCAACCTTCTGGCTAAATTCAAGACTTCTAGGTAACACACGATAGCTATGTTTCCATCCACCAATTTTTATGCGCATTTTAGAATATCACATGAAAATCTGCTTTATGGAAACGCCTAGATCAGGGATTCTCCACCGGTGGGCTTCAGCGATCCTGCTGGTGGGCCGCGAGAAATTAACAAATAATTAATCCCCAGAAATTAATAATAAAAATTATACTATAATTTTGGAATTTCATTAATAATATGCCATATTAAATTATCAAAGTAATACACTTTCTTCTGTTCTCTGATTGATTACTTCAAATTCAGCCTCATAACCACATCTGCAACTCGTACACGCAAGTCTGTTCATTCACAAACTATGCGTGAAGTGAAAGTCTCTTCTTGTGTATTTTTGTGTCAACTCATTCATTTGTTTTCTTTTCGGCTTAGTCCCTTTATTAATCCGGAGTCGCCCAGCCAACTTATCCAGCAAGTTTTTACGCAGCGGATACCCTTCCAGCCGCAACCCATCTCTTGGAAACATCCACACACACACTCATTCACACACACACTGACTCGTACACTACGGACAATTTAGCCAATTTAATTTTTAGACAATTTAATTTAGACAATTTAACCAATTCACCTGTACTGCATGTCTTTGGACAGTGGGGGAAACCGGAGCACCAAAGAACACCGGAGAACAAGCTAACTCCACACAGAAACGCCAACTGACCCAGTCATAGCTCGAACCAACAACCCAGCAACCTTCTTGCTGTGAGGCAAACCGCACTACCCACTGCGCCACTGCGTCACCGTTTACACTAATGCGTTTTAGTTTGAAAACGCATAAGTTTTGCTACGGTTACGCCGGAGTTTTCGAGCGCAGAAAACGGAGCGTTTTGGAAACGCTGAAGAGGCCGTTTTCATTCGGAAATGCTGCTGCTCTGTCTCAGTGTGGATGGGAGAAAACGGAGACATCTGTAAACGGAGGCGGGGCTGCTGAGATTCGCTACCTGATTGGGGCTTTTGTGCCATTGCGTATCCTTCCCTTATTCGTCAAGCCCCTATCACATGACTATAACACATGGCTTTAACGCTACTGGAAGACAGCAGACCAGCCTTCACTGTAAACAACAACACGGACACAGACATGGGAGCGTTGTTTGCACTATTGTCTGTTTTAGGTGCCATTGTGTAGTTATTCATTTGTTACGTTTAGTACAACTCGACCTCGTCGTCTGTCCACAAAAATACCTCTCTTGCTTTCTTTGCCATCGCGTTCATTGTTCAACCGGCGTTTGTTGACTAACAATAACCAAATGTCGAGCGAGACGCATGCTTCCTGTTTATACTAGAACGCTCATGCCCAGAGTGTGCGAATGGTCACGTGATATACGTTTTTGGTGGCGTAGTGTGGACGGACATATGTTCAGAAACGCTAGGTGAAACGCTAGTGTGGACGCAGATCGTTTTGTTTTGAAACTAAAACGCACTTGTGTGAACGGGGCCTAATTTGCCTCCCCATGTTAGGCAGGCCGCAACCCTTTCTGTTTTTAAATCTAGTCTTAAAACCCACTTTTACTCTTTGGCTTTTAATACCATATGAGAGTCATGTGTCTGTTGTATTAGTCCTTTGTTTTAGATGGTGTATGTGTGTACAGTAGAGATGCGCGGATGGGCTATTATTTCATCCGCAACCGCATCACAAAACTCATCATCCGTCCGCCATCCATCCGCACTAACATTTTCGACCAAATTTTAAAACCGCACCCGCCCGCCATCTGCTGACTGAGCTCTTTATTTGAATGGCTTATTCCTTTTTATTATTAAATGAATGTTTCTTTATTGATTATTAGAAAATAGACAATGACTTTAATGACATGTAGTTAATTCAAACGTGCAAGTCAATGCAGCATTAATTGACGCTTTGAAGTGAAGCTAAACAATACGAGGACGTGCCGTTTCATTTGATTCAATTCCTCGGTCCTTTAGTCTTTTCCTTGCGTCCTACCCTCGCATCCTATAGGGGTGGAAAGACGAGGAAAGAAAGCAAGGAAAGGAAACGAGGATACACAAATAAGAAATGAGAAGCACCCCTATAAAGCTCTCAGAATATCAGCAGTGAACTCCGTCTCCAATTGGCGCACAGGGACAAAAATAAATAAATAGCCTAAATTAAATGGACTGTACTGTACAATTTTTTTACTATTATTGTAGCCTAATAGAAAACGCATTTTGACACATCATTTCAACATTCAGACGAGAGCGCATGGCCTCAATGCGCCCGGCTGCGCTGAAGGAGCGCTCGCTCGCAGCACTTGTTGCTGGAATGCATAGAATTCTCTTGGCAAGGAGCTGTAGTCGTGGGAATGACTGCCTTGTTTCTCCTAAAAGGAAAGTAGATTTTCCTCTGCTGATCCGTCTATACGGAAGTTTGTAAAGGAATACTTCTGTACTTCATCCAGAATTAGTGTATCCGATTCCTTCTCTCATTCTGTGAAGTCAGTCCTAGGCTTTTTCGTTGGTGCGCCAGCTATGTGTACAAAAACAGTACAACCGCCCACCACCCGCCCGAATATAATTAAAATTTAATTTTTCGTCACGTCATCCGCCCCATCCGCGGTTTATCCGCAGCTGTAACCGCCATCCGCGCATCTCTAGTGTACAGCACTTTGGTAAGCACTTGTTGTTTTAAAAAGCACTTTATAAATAAATTTTAACATGACTTGACTTGAATAATATTCAGCTGCAAACTCAACCACCATCAGAGGCTCGAACCTGCGACCTTCTTGCAGTGAGGCTACAGCGCTACCCCCTGCTCCGGCCCTCCTCCTTTTTGACTAATTTGATAAAAACGCTGCTTTATTCGCAAATATTTCATGCATTATTCCAAATGTAATTCGCATCTTTGCATGGAAACACGGCTACCGCTTTTCAATAATAATAATCAAACTAAAACGCCCCCAAAACGTGACCCATTCAAGATCAGTGGAATTTTAAATACTCTCCAAGGTCATAAAGCCTGTCTTTCCCTCACTTTGTGATTTTTCTGGCCTACCTGAGCTGCGCTAATGCCATTAGTCTTCGCTGGAGTTGTCCGAGTCGTCCCAGTCCACCTCTTCCCATGATGCTTTGGCTCTTTGCTCCCAACTGTGAGCCTGAGCCATTGCTGCTCGAGGCAAAAGCAGCACACAGGCTGAAAGTCCGGATACGCGGTCCTCCAGAGCCGTGCCGCTCTCCCATCGGTCCTCGTCCGCATGATAAATGTGGACGTACTTCATTCGACTGCCTTTATCATGCGACCGTCCACCCAGAATGTAGATGCGACCATCGAGGACGGCAGTACCGGGCTCTCCATGTCCTGCTGGCAGTGGACTGACCACTGACCACACATCTGCTGTTGGGTTATAACACGCCACCTAGACATATAGAAAGATAATCCTACTTAAACACTGAAATCAATAGAGCAAATCTAGTGTGCTGCTTTGTTGTCTACTACAGTATATGGACATCTTTGAAGGGAGCATGCTAAACAATTACCGTCAATCATTATGTCATATATTTATCTGTAGCCAAATCTATTTCAGATAGGAAATCTGAAATTCTTTTGTGGTGCCCTGGAGGCTTATATACAGAAGCCAATATCAATTTAGATTGAGCTTTATTGTTTACATTCTACACTGTTATATATGCATAATGAATTGTACTGAAAACAGATCGCTGAGATATAGTGAAGATATTACTATGTATTATAGCAACGCCTCCACCTTTTCCTTTAAGACGACTCTTATGTCTATAATGATGTTCATTAGGTGTAGACTCATTTAAGGTCATGATATTATTTGGTTTCATTCAGTTGTTCTGTTAAACAGAGTACATCTAACTTTAATACGAGATTTATCTTTTGTTTATTTAAATTTTTAATTTGATGAACATTCATTCAATTATAATCTTTTAAAGGCTTTAGAAGTTTTATATATTCTGAGGTTTAGACACAGTCTCTGTTATAACATCTACTTGGCTCTATGTGCTGATTTTATATCCGTTGAATCGTCCTGATATTCGCATAACACTGATCTGAATTCAAATGAACTGAACTTCAACAGTGTTATCTGTATTAAACTGCAATAAAGTCTGTAAGCATGTGGCACTATTATGAGCACCACTGCAAATACAATGTAAATAGTCTTAAAATTTTAAAATAATAAATAATTATTTACCGCATTTTGAAGCGCTAATAATATCTAGGCTTATCACGATAAAGAATGTTTGCGGGGTGATATATTGTCACAGAAATTGTTGCCATAAGAGATATTATTGCCATTTTGGGCTCTATTTTGACGGTCCATGCGCAGAGCGCAAAACGCAGGGCGCAAACGATTTCAGGGCGTGTCAGGACACGTTTTTGCTAATTTAAGGACGGGAAAACCTGCTTTGCGCCGTGGCGCATGATCTAAAAGGGTTGAGTTTATTTTCTTAATGAGTTATAGGTGTGTTTTGAGAATAAACCAATCAGAGTCTCATCTCCCATTCCCTTTAAGAGCCAGCTGCGTCACGCCAAGAGCGCATTCGCTATTTACAGGACGTAAAGTAAGTCTAAGTGGAAAAAATGAGCATTTCACCAGCTAACAGTTAACAGTTTATTAACAGAAAACAGTTAAACAGAGCATCTACTGCGTGAGAATGAGAGATAATGGATCACTTTCACATTCACTCTTGGATAGGGAAACCTTTATGCACAGACATCAATTAGCCTATAAATAATTAATTTCATTTGTTAAGCGCAAATATTCGTTTCAAAACTATTTCTAAATTCAGTTCTAATTTCCAGCAAACAAATAAATGAACAACAATAACAAAATGTGCTCAAAAACCTGAGTTAAATCCTAAAACACATGCTGTGCCCCATATGGTCTAAAACCTGACAGGTGGGCAAATCTAAGCTTGTTTTTAATAAAACAAATATAAATATTGATATAATAAATAATACTGCTAATAATAATAACATTATACAAAAGCAAATTGTCACGAATAAACTGAAAAAGCCTCCCGAGATGAAGAAGACATAAAAGCAGTGATTTTTCATATTTATGTAGGCTAGAAAATAATATGTTTTGTGATATTTTAATCCTTTATATTTATATCTATTCTTATTATATCCTATATATATCCTTAATATTTAATTTTTTTCATATGTAAAGATATTTGCCTATTGCTCTCTTGTGTGTATTAAGCAGTGTGTAAGCGAGGTGCAACTCTGCGCTGGAGTTTAGACCGGGTTTGTTTTGGTCTAATGAAAAATCTATTATAGTTTCTCAAAATAGCAACGCGCCAGCAGTGCGCCTCAGAACGCCTTCCTTTTTAGACCAGAACGCCTATGGGCGCACAAATGAGCGCTAATGCATTTGCTATTTAAACAGCATAGCGCAACGCCTCAAAACGACTCTTGCGCCAAGCTGAAACTACCAAAAGACTACTGCACCACGCCTTGCGCCACACTGCACCGGGTGTATGATAGGGGCCTTTGTGATCATTTTATGCCACTGATTATTATATAATGATTATATAACAGCATGATAATGCAAATAGCCATAAGCACTTTAAAATACTTATTATTCTTAAGATTATTTAGATTCTATGATTTGATGTTAAATAGGTAAATGTCTTATTAAATATATAATATATTGTCTTATTAGGTTAATATCCAATTATAAACTTTTGACACAGCTGAGGTAGCACGTAAATGTCATTGTAATATGGCTTTAGCATTATTTGTGAATTTGTAAAAATATATTACAATGGCAAAAATGATTGAGGTCATTTCCAAGTATTACACGATACTTCGATATATTGATTATAGTAACATGCCGATATCAATATTGTGCATATTAATTATCATGATATATTGAATTTGGGCATATGTCTAACAGCAGATGGAGTACCTTCAGTACGTCTCTTCTGTATCCGCAGCTATCGTTGCTTCCTCCCATTACGTAAGCCCGCTCGTTGAGGGCTGCCATGCCATGCCAGGCTCGTTCCACCGGACCCTCAGCACACACACTCCAATGATTACTGCCGGGATCATAACAGTACGTCTCCTTCAGATACGCCATTCCCCGCCGGCCGCACGATATGTAGATCTTCCCATCAATCACTGCGCCAGCATGAGCATAGACCTGCAGACACAGCCATGCAGAGCGTCAACATACAGTTAAATAGCAAAATTAAGAGCCAAACTAGTAAACTCGTTGTTGTTGTTAAAGGGTATACTTAACTGAGATAGCTTCTGGAAACACATATTAACGATAAGGTACAGCTTAAGGTACAATTTAAGAATGATATGGCATTAAGAAGAAGGTTTTGAGAAAGGCAGGTCTGAAGTGTACTTGAATGTTTAAGCACACAATAGTTTACAGGAATAAGAAATGATATGCATTGTAAAGAAGGTGCAAAGATGTCACAATCAGCCTCCTGCCAGCCATGACTCAAGTGATGCTGTATTTATTATCTATAAAGTTGCCATTTCTACCATCATAATAAACAGCAGTGCATTTTCCTTCAGAAAGCCTGACCTCTCGTTTGAGCGGCGCCATGAACTCCCATGTGTTGGTCTGTGGGTTGTATCTCTCCACACAGTCCAGCTCATTGGTGTAGTCTCGTCCTCCGATGGCGTAGATGTATTTATCGACCACACAGACGCAATGATCCGCGTGCTGCTGCCGGAGAGACTCCACTGTACACCAGCTGTTTTGGCGAGGATCGTACCTTCACGAGAAGATCGTGAGAAAACAAATACTGTTAAAGGGCCATGAAACCCCCTCGTTTCACACCTCTACTTTGGAAAAAGTCAGAAAAGTGGGCGTGTCCAGCTCTGTTTAGGGGGGAGTGTCGGAGGAAGAAAAGAGGCTTGGTGTGGGAGTGTCTATTTGGGTAAGCTGAATTTCAGAGTCAAAACACACAACCACAGCGAACAATGTGACTGTGTTTACATGACCATCTGTTGTCGAATTATTTGCCAAATTATTAAACTTTAACTGCAGTTTGGCTCTTTCATTCAGGGAATTCATTCATGTATCTAGTGAAGATTTAGAAAAACTTGTTCATGCTTTTATCAGCAGCAGGGCGGATTACTGTAATGGACTCCTCACTGGTCTTCCTAAAAAGACAGTCAGACAGTTACAGCTCATCCAGAACGCTGCTGCCAGAATTCTGACCAGAACCAGAAAATCAGAGCACATCACACCTGTCCTCAGGTCTTTACACTGGGTGCCAGTTACATTCAGAATAGATTTTAAAGTATTATTACTGGTCTATAAATCACTAAATGGCCTAGGACCTAAATACATTACAGATATGCTCACTGAATACAAACCCAACAGATCACTCAGATCTTTAGGATCATATAAACTAGAAGCTCCAAGAGTTCAGTCAAAGCAGGGTGAATCTGCCTTCAGCCACTACGCCCCTCGCTGCTGGAATCAGCTTCCAGAAATGATCAGATGTGCTCCAACATTAGCCACATTCAAATCAAGACTGAAAACACATCTGTGTAGCTGTGCCTTTACTGAATGAGCACTGTGCTGCGTCCGACAGATTGCACTATCATGTTTTTCTCTTCTTCTTCATTCTTTTATATCACATTTTACCTGTTTTTATGTTTTTTTTTTACGCATTTTTATTATTTGTTTTTATTTTTATTTTACTTGTTTCTTTTATTCTTGTTTATGTAAAGCACTTTGAATTGCCACTGTGTATGAAATGTGCTATATAAATAAACTTGCCTTGCCTTGCCTTACCCTAATTAATCTAGTTACGACTTTAAATGCTGAACACTAGTATCTTGAAGAATATCTAGTCAAATATAATGGCTGTTATCATGGCAAAGAAAAAAAATCAGTTATTACAAATGAGTTATTAAAATGAATGAATGAATGTTGATCTTAACTCACCTCCAGCATCGAGCTTCAGCCCGGAAGCCGCTGGTGTTTTTGTCCCCGCCGATTAAATACACAAAGTTATTGAGCACAGCGATGCCCATGTTGGACATGCGCGGAGCGCGCTCTGCCGCCAGGCTCCGCCACTCGCTCCAGGATGGGTGGAAGACCTGAAAGCGCTCTTCATTGTCCACCAGCGCACTCGATGCATACATGCCACCAAATCCCACAATGCACTGGGAGCTGCAGCGGGGCAGAGTGAGCGGGGTTTGCATCACCGGCTGCCAAAGCTCCTGACTGTGGTAACGCAGAGCGGCAGCCACCGAGTCCCGCAGCGGGCACTGCTTTAACCGACTGTGCAAACGCTGCAAAACGTGCTTCTCCATCAGACAGAACCGCACCGCCTCCAACATCCGCAGCGGTTCCTGAAGTACAACAACATTCATAAATATACAGTTGAAGTCAAAATGATTTATACAAATAGTTGCAACCCAGGCTCATTGTGGAAACGTAGTCCCACGGACGTTTCTGGAGACCGCAGAATACGTCCCGGCGGGTACGCTGCAGTTTTTGTTTTCGCGAATCCGCGAGAGGTAGCTGTTGCACGCTTTTTCGCACCTCAGACGCCTCTCGCGGGCGCGAACCCGCCGGAGGCCGCCGTCCGACTGACCGAATGATTGACTGCGTGACCAGCCAATCGGCCGACTCGCCCTCCTCCTTTCCCGAACCCAACCAATTTTACCGATCAACCCGCAAGCCCGCCCGCTCGCTTCCCTTAACCCGAGCAACAGTTCACAAAAGCCGTCCAAAAAAAACAAAAGCCCTGATTATTTTTTTACTCCACCGCGTTTTCGGATTTCGCCGCGTTCTCGCCCTGTCATGAAACTCGTTCACTTAATTTTTGGGATTCTGTTTTTGTCTTACGTGATTGCTGGAACCGCTCTTCCCCGGACTCTAAAACGGTCGCCGTGGTCGACCCCTCTCGGCATCTCGAGCCTGCCGAGGTACACGGTGAGCTAAGTGGACAAACGGGTTGCAACGGGGAAGCCCTCCACAAGGAGGTAAGGTAAGCGCGAAAGGGAACGGCGTCACACCGCCCCGCAGCGTTCGCTTGAAAAAAAATAAACGCGGCCGTACATACCCCAGGGGACGTATTCCGCTGTCTCCAGAAACGTCCGCCGGACTACATTTTCAGAATGAGCTTGGGTTGAATAGTTGCCAAATGATGTTGAACAGATTCAGGATTTTTTTCACAGTATTTCCTATAATATTTTGTTCTTCTGGAGAAAGTCTTATTTGTTTTATTTCGGCTAGAATAAAAGCGTTTTTTAATTTTTTTAAATTCAGGTCATCTATATTTGCCCTTATGGAATGGAAGCCAGCTGGTGATCGCGTAAACACTCCTCGGATCTAGCGACAGACGTTGTTCTGCAATCTTTAGCCTCCTCAGAGCATTTGTCTCCCGTTCCGCCCTGCTCGGACCGCTGGAGTTACATGGATATAAACTAATCGTCTTTTGACGAATATGATGTTACACATCCTTTATCTTTATTAACTAATTTTTCCATAGATGTAAAGTATAATATTGACTGATAAAGAATATAAACGTAAGAGAAACCAGAGAGAAAATATAACAATAATACAAAATAGATAAACACAATGGCCAGGGCTAAGAGAGATTTAATAAGAACATCACACAAAACAGTGGCTTCCGTTACATAAGGGCAAATATAGATGACCAAAACATCATTTACTCATTTTACTCATACTCATTTTATTACCATTATGTCCAAGACACTGATATTAATATTAAATTCTACTTTTGTGCCTTAATTAACTTTTTTTCTTGCCTATTTGCTGGGTGGCGAAGCAGTGGCGCAGTAGGTAGTGCTGTCGCCTCACAGCAAGAAGGTCGCTGGGTCGCTGGTTCGAGCCTCGGCTCAGTTGGCGTTTCTATGCGGAGTTTGCATGTTCTCCCTGCGTTCGCGTGGGTTTCCTCTGGGTGCTCCGGTTTCCCCCACAGTCCAAAGACATGCGGTACAGGTGAATTGGGTAGGCTAAATTGTAATTGTGTATGAGGGTAAGTGAGTTTTTGTGTGTATTTGTGTGTGTGTGGATGTGTGAATGTTTCCCAGAGATGGGTTGCGGCTGGAAGGGCGTCCGCTACGTAAAAACTTGCTGGAAAAGTTGGTGGTTCATTCCACTGTGGCGATCCCAGATTAATAAAGGGACTAAGCCGACAAGAAATATTTGCTGGGTTAAAAATCTTAAATTAAATTGTTAAATTGCGTGAAATAAAATTGAATTTTAGCAGTCGAATTTGAACCACTGAGTTTATGGATGCGAATATTTGAACTGAAATAAAATGAACTAAAAAAAATACCTTTTTTATATTACACAACGTATTTTTAAAGAGTATTTTGTAAGTGAAAGCTGTAAATTGAATATGAATTAGTGAATTTTTAAGTAAAAAAACGTGTTTGAAATATTTTTAGTTGAAATATTCAAAGCTTAAATAAACAGATATGTTAAATTTCAGAACCTAAAAATACAAAACCTGGAATTCAAGTCATTAAAATGCAAGAACTTGTTAATTCGGTGTATTATTTTTTTCAGTTTGTGCTATTCAACAAGCTTTTTAAATCAATACTTTTGGCACTGCTTTTGTTCCATAGAAATAAAATATACAGGAGGGCTAAGAATTCTGACTTCAACTATATCTCTAGCCACATCCAGCCCAGTGCAGTGTGTTCCTCACCTGTAAGCAAACCTGGTCTTTCTCCACCTGTTCGGGAGTGTAATGGTAGTGAAGTGCGGCTTCGTACACCTCGTTCTCCGAGTCCACTTCCAGCTCGTTACTACAAAGCACACTCAACACCTTTTCTGCAGGTAGTTTCCGATACACCGGCGTGCGTGAAAACGTCTGGATGTTCTTCAGCAGATATGAGCGAATCTTTTCCCCCAGCTGGTGGAGCCCGTAGATGTCGGCCAGCTTCTCCACCTCCAGGATGTTGTCATCGTCCAGCCAGGAGAACAAGAAGTCGCAGCAGAAGCCGATCACATCTTGGACCTGCAGCAGCGTGGCGGCACACAGCACCTCCTGCACCGTGTCCAAGTCCAGCTCCAGCTCCGAGGTGTAGATGAAGTCCAGCAGCTTCATCATGGCCGTGTATGAAACCCCATGAACAGGGATCTCAGTCTGCTGCATCTCCCGCAAACCACCTGCAAACATGCCCCTGAACACACAGACGAGACAATCGTTCAAGTAAAATACAAGCTTCATTTCATTAACTTGGTAGTTTTGCAGTCTTTTTAGCTGATATATCTTGATAATAATAATAATGATAAGTAATAATTAGATCATTAATATTGAAGTTAATATTTGTAATACATTCACTGTCACACTTTACAATAAGGTGCATTAGTTAATGTTAATTAATGCATTTACTAACATGAACAAACAATGGACAATACATGAATTACTGTATTTGTTCATGTTAGTTAACGTTAGTTAATGAAAATACAGTAGTTAACTCATGGTGCATTAACTACTGTTAACAAGCATGGAGTTGGATGTTATTAATGCATTAGTAAATGTGTTGTGGCGAGGTGCTGAGAGGTCGAAATTTTTTAGCTCTGCTGCTAACTTGCGATCAATCCTACAATACCAACCAGAGTTGTCAAGCAACACAAATATAAAAGCATAGGGAAGAAAAATGTCACGCAAAGGTACCAGAAAAGACAAGAAAAAGACCAGAAACGAAGATGAATATTCTGAGGGTGAAGAAACTAACGACGCCATGGCAGCTGGTGAGGGCCCTGACGAAGATGATGACGAAGCAATAACTTCTAATGGTAACAACGAAGATTTCATGAAAGCTATAATGTCCTTGAAAAGTGGACTTTACAAATGTTCAATTATGATTAGTAAATGCTGTACATGTGTTGTTCATGATTAGTTCATGTTAGTAAATGCATTAACTAATGAACCTTATTGTAAAGTGTTACCACATTCACTTATCACTACATAATTGGTGCCCTCGTGTGAAGCTAAAATATCAATATTAATATCAATACCAAAATACTGATGTTAATATTTGGAATAAATTCAATAATCACGACAGTGTACTATGTATATTTATTATGTATGTATAAGTACACACATGCATGCATATATTTAATAAAAATTGTTATTTATATGTAGATATAAAATTCACAGTTAAAGTCAGAACTATTAGCATTTCTTTGAATTTTTATTTTCTTTTTAAAGATGTTTAACAGAGCAAATTTTCACAGTATGTCTGACAATATTTTTTCTTCTGGAGAAAGTCTTCTTTGTTTTATTTCATCTAGAATAAAAGCCGTTTTAAATTTTTTAAACAACATTTTAAGGACAAAATTATTAGCCCCTTTAAGCTACATTTTATTAGATAGTCTACAGAACAAACCATCCTTATAGAGTAACTTGCCTAATTACCCTAACCTGCCTAGTTAACCTATTTAACCAAGTTAAGCCTTTAAATGTCACTTTAAGCTGTATAAAAGTGTCTTGAAGAATATCTAGTCAAATATTATTTACTGTCATAAAATAGAAATGAGTTATTAAAACTATTATGTTAAGAAATGGGTTTAAAAAAAAATCTTCTTTCCGTTAAACAGGAATTGTGAAAAAGTAAACAGTGGGGCAAATAATTCTGACTTCAACTGTACATGTATATGATACAAATCATATGTACATTTAAGTATCTATCAAAACAGCTTTGTAGAGTTTTGTTTCTATGTGTGTGTGTGTGTGTGTGTCACATATTCATAATAAATATGTATGATACACATATTAATTATGGCAAAACAAACTTTCATTTACTAAATTTAATTATTAATTTATTCCAAAATCAAATGAATGTATAGAGTGATCAGCATTAGCTTATTAAACTGATCATAAGAGACAATGAAGACATTTTTAATGTTATAATTAATTTCATTTAGATTTAGATTTATTTATTATTTTATTAAATAATACATATTCAGAGTATTCAGAGTATGAAGCAACACATCATGCAAGTCATAAAATAATGAATTCTGAATGAGGGACACATGCTAATAATTCAGCTTTGCCATGACAAAATTACAGTATATCTTAAAATATGTTAAACAAAAAAAAAAAAGAAGAAAGTCTGAAGTTGTAAAAATGTTTTATTACATAATAATTACTGTGTTTACTGCTTATATAAATGAAAAATCACACCTCTTACAGATCTCTTTTTTTAATATTTGTTTTTTTATAGGATCCTTTAAAATAATATATTTTTATATTTGTGAATATACATTGCATTAGTCAGCACCAAAGCCAAAACTGAGATAATCTGAAGATCATAGTCCAAATATTAAAGCTTAAATTAGGATGTTAGGGGAAAATATTGAATACAATTATAATAAACTAGAAAAAATCTGGAGAAACATAAAAAATATATACATACATATTTTTTTCATAAAAGAAATATATAGGCCATCATATATATATATATACACACACACACACACACACACACACACACACACACACATATATATATATATATATATATATATATATATATATATATATATACATACATTTATATATATATACATTTATATATATATATATATATTATATATATATATATATATATATATATATATATATATATAATTTTTATTTAATGAAGCCAGGTAAACATAATAGTCTCAGCATTCCTAACATGTAAGGACTGTCATGCATACCTGAAATAGTCACACGACGCCGCCAGGAGAATTCGGTGAGCCTGGATGGGTTTTCCTTCCACCAAGAGCACCACGTCAAACAGAATACCACCTTGTCGCAGCATAAGCAGCCCATCTAACAGCCCCTGTGAGTGGGCGGTGCTGCGATATTTCTGCTTGGCACAAGGCTGAGCGGAGCGAACGGCCCCTCCAGCCGTGCAGGAGACCAAATCATCAGCCATCTTGACACAATAATGCAAACAGAAAGTGAACCTGCTCACATTTTTGTGCGTAATTCCACACCAATGCTAAAAGAAAGAATGGAGAGAAGTTAGAAAATTCACACAAAAATGATGGTATATGATGATATCATAGAACCTAAATTTGACAAGCATGATAACATTAACTGAGGTAAAGTTGGCTTTATATTGGCACATTCAGTCAGTGACAACTTGTGACACGCTACCTATATTGTTTACCATGGTACTTTGAATATCCGGCCCTAAATCACACGTAATTATGACATCAAAACAACATTAGCACTATTTATTTGACGGTAAACAATGTTGCACAATATTAGTCATTGGCTTCTGATATGATTTCACTATTTAGAATTTGCAAAGAGTACTTTTCTGGAGATTATATTAAAGAGAAAGTCTGAATGCGTGAATGTATAAGCAACTTTACCTCAATATAACACTACCATGAAAGCAGGAACACATACTGTCATGAACAGTAAACAAAGTCACTGAGGTAAAGTTGGTTTTATATTCGCAGTTTTTTTTACGATTGTTTACACTCTAAATAAAAATATCCACACAATTGCAAAACTCTACTCCAAGGAGAAAAACACAGATTTGCACAACATTACACACTATGGGCTCTATTTTGACGGTCCATGCGCAAAGTGCTAAACACAGGGGCGCAAACGCTTTCAGGGCGTGTCAGAATCCACTTTTGCTAATATAAGGACAGAAAAATCCACTTTGCGCCGTGGCGCAACGTCTAAAAGGGTTGAGTTTATTTTCTTAATGAGTTATAGGCGTGTTTTGAGAATAAACCAATCAGAGTCTCATCTGCCATTCCCTTTAAAAGCCAGCTGCGTCACGCCATGAGCGCATTTTCTATTTACATAACGTAAAGTACGTGTAAGTGGAAAAACTGAGCATTTCACTAGCAAGAAAACAGTAAAACAGAGCATCTACAGTGCGAGAATGAGAGATAAGGCATCTCAAACTCTAGTTTCACTTTCGCTCTCGTGGATAGGGAAAACTTGTATGCACAGACATCAATAAGCCTATAATTAATTTTGTTTGTTAAGCGCAAAGCTTTGTTTCAAAACTATTTCTAAATTCAGTTCTAATTTCCAGCAAACGAATAAACGAACAATAATAACGAAGTGTGCTCAAAAACCTGAGTTATATCCAAATACACATGCTGTGCCCCATATGGTCTAAAACTTGACAGGTGGACAAATCTAAGCTTGTTTTTAATAAAACAAATATAAACATGCATATAATAAATACGGCTAATAATAATAACATTATACAAAAGCAAATTGAATGAACTGAAAAAGCCCCCGAGATGAAGAAAGTATGAAGGCAGTGGTTTTTAAATTCATGTAGGCTAGAAAATAATATGGTTTGTAATATTTTAATCCTTTATATATCCTTATTATATCCTACATATATAAATAAAAGTGCATTTTTATTCACAGAATTTCCACAAAGTATGTCAACTCACAAAACTCATGTCTTTCTTTTGTCACATCCGTAACGCATTCATTTTGCCGTCATTTTAAATATAAAACACCTGAATAGACTGGGGCGAGGCAGTGGCGCAGTAGATAGTGCTGTCGCCTCACAGCAAGAAGGTCGCTGGGTCGCTGGTTCAACCTCGGCTCAGTTGGTGTTTCTGTGTGGAGTTTGCATGTTATCCCTGCCTTTGCGTGGGTTTCCTCCGGGTGCTCCAGTTTCCCCCACAGTCAAAAGATATGCAGTACAGGTGAATTGGGTAGGCTAAATTGTCCCTAGTGTATGAGTGTGTGTGGATGTTTCCTAGAGATGGGTTGCGGCTGGAAGGGCATCCGCTGCGTAAAAATTTGCTGGATAAGTTGGCAGTTCATTCCGCTGTGGTGACCCTGGATTAATAAAGGGACTAAGCCGACAAGAAAATGAATGAATATACTGATATTTTTTGATGCCTGAACTCCATGGTTAAGGGGGAAGAAAAATATAAACAGATATTTCAATATTCTGTTAACATATACCTTCTATGAGTATATACGTTTCATTTTTTTTACTGCAAATGTCACAGCCATATATGTTTTGACTGAAGTGTGTATGTTTTGACTGAAGTGTGTATGTTTTGACTGAAGTGTGAATGTTTTGACTAAAGTGTGTATGTTTTGACTGAAGTGTGTATGTTTTGACTGAAGTGTGTCATTTTGCAAACAATCTTGGAATTCTCCAAATTGAGTGTGCTGTTTGAATAATTGTGATTATACTTTGAAAAAAGAACCCGGTTTTCAAAATTATGTGTGAAAAATTGAAAAAAACTGTAAATAGCGTTAATCTAAGTCATACTTTCTTGCATGCTCTCACTAAATATTGAAAGTAAACGTTAGCGTGGTAAACAATATGGAAAACGTGTCGTAAGTTGTCACTGTTTAAAAATAAACGTGTGATTAAAAAATACAACTTTACCTCACAACCGAAGTCATGACTGTCTCACAAAGAAATGTTAATCATAATGTTAATTTATAATTAATTGTCTTAAAAGAACCGCGTTTTTAATTGACATCAGGCCTTTTTACTTTTACTTTCACATTTTAGGAATTCATCATGTTTCGATGTAAACACTGGCCTGCGTTTAGTCCTCCAGTGAATTAAAGTAACATTCGCAGAAAGTAACGATAACAAAGACTGATGGATATGTTTTGTTTAGCTGACAGCAGTGTGTGGTCGTTATATAAACTAGTACAGTAAATGTTGTGAGTTTGTGTGTGATGTTGTGTGTGTGTGATTTCTGCAGCACTGTCGTTGCACTTACCAGAAAAGGTCTGACGGCGAAAACAAGCTGTTTAATGACTGCAGTCACTCGATGATAATGATGAATATTAATATGAAAACGACGAGGACGTTTCGGGATGTTTTGATTTTTGAACGCCAGTTGAGTTTCTCCGTGATGTCACGGCAGTGCTTCCGGTGTGCAGAGCAAAACAGATGATGACGTCATCAGCAGCTGTCAAATGAAAAGCGCGTGAGGGGCACTTCACATAGATATATAAATGTATATAAATATGTAAATATCTATGGCTAATTCACTGCGACGCTGGTTGAATTACAGTAATATATACATATTGAGTCATATATAAGTGTATATATAATAAATTTATAGGTATTCAAAAAACAAACAAAACGAAATGGTGGAAAACAAAAATGTTTAAATGATAAATATCAATTAATTTACTGTGGAAAAGAAAAAAAATCTGTCCATGCGTCACCAACGTGGTGTAATGGAATATACAACATTTAAAGCTAGATTTAAACTAAGTTTAGCTTTATATTTTGTACGTTTTAGTTAATATTTTTTTTTAGTTTATAAATTCATAAACAAAAAAATATATATATTTTTAGTTGATAAATTTAAAATAAATGAAGTTAAATTTATACATCAATACAATCTTAATGGAGTTTAGGCGGGAATTTGTGTAGGGTGAGGGTCTGTAATGGAGAACTAATGGAAATATAGATAACTTCAGTTAAACACATTTAGTTTTGGTGTGTAATCCAACTTTATTTTCATAAGGAAAAGCAGCGCTTTCCATTTTTGTAGCACAATTACTGGCTAAGGAATACGAAGTCGCGCGTTCACCTTATTGTGTCGTGAAAAATGTGTCAAATTTGATCATTAAAGTTTTAAGTTAATTGATTCTGTGATTTAACTACACACCTTAATCTGTTGACCATTTTTACCATAAACTTTTTTTTTTATGTCTCATGTAGTTGTACGAAGAAAGCTTAATTTTATTTATTTTTATGAATACGAACAACATATATTCCAGTAAAAAAGAGCCCAGACGTGTTTATCATGCACAGTGCTAATATTCCTTGTAGCCAGCAGAGGGCGCCAGTAATCTTTTCCTAATCACATCTCGGGACGAATAAGATGTTTTCATCATTAATATTACAGAAACTGAACGACAACAGGTATGTTCACTCGTAATAATTTTGCAGATATTATATGATTGCAAAAAAAAATGTATATGTGACTGTGGATCACAAAAAAAGTGTACATTTTTGGAAATTGAGATTAATATGTCATAATCTAAATGCTGAGTAGCTTTTCATTGATGTATGGATTATTAGGATAAGAAAATATTTGAGATACAAGTATTTGAATATCTGGAATGTGAGAGTTCAAAATGTAGAGAAATTCGCCTTTAAAGTTGTTCAGATTAAGTTCTTAGCAATGCACATTAATTACTATTACAATTTTTTGGATATATATATATATATGAAAAGGAAATGTACAAAATGTCATCATAAAAGTTGATCTGTACCTAATATTTGAATGATTAATTAATTTAAATCGATAATTGTACCTCACAATGTATTTTTGGGGCCTCACGGTGGTGTAGTGGGTAGCATGATCGCCTCACAGCAAGGAGGTTGCTGATTCGAGCCTCAGCTGGCATTTCTGTGTGGAGTTTGCATGTTCTCCCCGTGTTGGCTTGGGTTTCCTCCAGGTGCTCCGGTTTCCCCCACTAGTCCAAAGACATGCGCTATAGGTGAATTGGGTAAGCTAAATTGTCCGTAGTGTATGTGTGTGAATAAGAGTGTATGGATGTGCAGCCTTCCAGCTGCAACCCAGCATCCACACACACACACTCATACAATATGGCCAGTATAGCGGATGTATTTGGACTGTGTAGGAAAGCGGCGGAGCACCCGGACGAAACACCAAACTCCACACAGAAATGCCAACTAACCCAGACAGTACTCGAATCAATGACCTTCTTGCTGTGAGGTAACAGTGCTAACCACTGAGCCACTGTGCCGCCCCAAACAATAGTATATTTGTGATATTTCTTCACACTTGCAGTCACAACACTTGCAAATGAATTAGCAAAGACATCTGTGTGCTGAAACCACATTGCTTCATGGGTGCTATTTTTAAAGACCTTCTGTAAGTTAGCCTGTCGCACTAGCACAAAACATCCAGCTAGCATGTAGGACGTCTTGTCTACATGATTAATTAGGCTGTTAATTATCTTTATACCTCTCCACTTTCACAAAAACAGCTTATCTGGATTGCCTAAAGCTAGTCTGGTATCAGTGAGGTGTAATATACATATATGAGGCCTTTACCGGGGGACACAGATTAGCAAGCGGAGCATAAAACTATTGTTTTCATTACCAACGACAGCAAACAATTGCAAACCTCCGGCAAGACGCAATCACCTCATACATCTCTATCTGTCAAATTACCCTTTTCAAATGGAAACGATGCCAGCATAATGCACAAAGACGGCGGTGCGTTCTGTAATGAGCTTTCGCTAAGATAAGCGTGCTATTCTGCTCTGCGCTAATGACCTGATGCTTCATTGAATTAGCTTTGCCCATGGAGACCGTACAGGAAGGTTCATAAAAGCAAACGATGATACATCTTTCAGAGCAAAGGTTTAGCTGTACCAGGAGAGCTGGAGCACGTAGCGCAAGTCGCTCCAGTTTAATATGCTAAACAGCTCTTGCATGCTAATTATTCATGGCTAATCGTGACTGCAAATTATTTGAATATGTAAAAGTTGTTGTGTTTGCTCGGGGCCCTCATATTGCACACCTCTCAAAACAGAGGCCTTCAACTTGGTTAGTATTTCTGTGTGCTGTTTTAAAGTGGTTCAATCACAAAAGCACCTTATTACTCTGCTGAAAAATCCAGCTTAAACCAGCCTAGGATGGTTAGCTGGTTTTAGCTGGCCGACCAGCCTTGTTTTAGAGGGGTTTTGGCCACTTTCAGGCTTATTTCCAGCCATTTCCAGCCTGCCCTACTGAAAAATCCAGCTTAAACCAGCCTAGGCTGTTGGCTGGTTTTAGCTGGTCGACCAGGCTGGCTTTAGAGGGGTTTTAGCCATTTCCAGGCTGGTTTCCAGCCATTTCTAGCCTGGTCTTAGCTGGTCAGGCTGAATGATGACCAGCTAAAACTAGCTTGACCAGCCTAGCCAGGCTGGGAGCCCAACCAAAACCAGCTATGTCCAGCTTAAACCAGGCTGTTCAAGCTGGTTTTAGCTGGTCATTTTCCAGCCTGACCAGCTAAGACCAGGCTGGAAATGGCTGAAAACCAGCTGGAAATGGCCAAAACCCCTCTAAAACCAGGCTGGTTGACCAGCTAAAGCCAGCCAACCAGCCTAGGCTGATTTAGGCTGGATTTTTCAGCAGGTGATTGGTGAAGGAAAGTTCTATATGGTAAGTCCAGTACTTAAATAACACCACACACTTTAGAAAAAGTAGCATTCAATATTAATATCAATGCCTTGGACAATATAAATGATAATAAGTATGAGTAAAATGAGTAAATGAGGTTTTAGTCATCTGTATTTGCCCTTATGTAACAGAAGCCAGCTGGTGATCGCGTAAATCTCACTCCTCGGATCCAGCGACAGACGTTGTTCTGCAATCTTTAGCATCCTCGGAGCTTGTCTCCCTACTCGGCCCGGTGCGGTTACTTGCACATAAACCGTCTTTTGATGAATATGATGTTACACATTGTCTATCTTTATTGACTCTTTCTTCCATAGACGCGAAGTGTTATATTGACAGCTAAAGAATACAAGCGTAAGAGAAACAGGAGAGGATATATTATAATAATAATACAACATAGATAAACATTAACAGGGCTAAGAACAATTACGAACAAAGATATTCAAAAGCAGAGAGATTTTATAAGAATGTCACACAACACAGTTTACTTGGATCTTTAGTTTTCAGAATGAGCCAGTCTTGAAACCAGGGGTCCGTTCTTCGTACCTCGCTTAAATGATCTAAGATGATTTGGCAGATCCTGGATCTTAATCTTGATAACTGATCTCTCGCTAATTTGGTTCTCCAAACAAGTTCGCGAATCAGATTAGAATATCTGGATGAACTGATCTGAGATCGCTGCGTTTGTTGTTAAGGACAGATCTATCGATCCTAGAAATCATGATCAGCAATGCAACGATTGGCTGACGGCACAGCAGCGTAATGACATCATCTGATTAATATTCAATTATCCATGTGAGCAAAATTACATCAAATTAGCAGTAAACGGCTTGTTAAATATGACACGCAGTAACTTCACATTTGTTGTGAGCTGCAGGCTTTACACTTTCATTTGTCAAGACAAGAGTATTCATCATGTATTTCAATGCAAATCAATGTAGTTCTTCATTTAGAAAAGATTTTCTTTATTATAGTAACCGTTTTTTAATCGGTGTAAAGAATAACTGGTTGTTTCCAAAAGCATTTTGATATTGGTAAAGGCGTCTGCAACTTTTGTGAAGCATCACTGGCATATTAACTGTCAAAACATGTTCATGACTGCATAAATGTATTATTGCTTTTAAAAAAAGTCACATATTGTGCATTTCTATTATACACAATTTGTACTAAAGCGATCTAAAAAGTTCATATCAATAAGTTTTCTCTTTGCACCACCAGGTGGCAGTCTTTGGATTTTCATTTCGAGGGTGCAGATTGCATAAGTTTTATTAATATGAATAACTTTATTTATTTTATTAATGACTATAACTTTTATATATATAGTTAAATATTTACTATTTTCCCAAGTGTATATAACTTTTACTGTAAGAAAATATCAGAACTCTGTACATACTTTCTGTATTATCTTTGCTTGAACTGAGCCGATCTAATCCTGTTTATATGATTTGAACCTGCTCCCGATCAGGTTTGACCTAGCAGATCTGTTGCCATGACAACAACTCTCGGATCAGCTTTGAAGAACGAAACGATCCTGGATCGTGTCAAATCGTCAATATCCAAATCCAGCTAACTGAGTAATCCACGTACGAAGAACGGACCCCAGGAGGGCGAATAATTTTGACTTCAACTGTATGTCGAACTAAAGGGTTGCTCAAGCTCTGTTCCAGTATTTTGGAACAATGCTTCATGTCATGGAGCGAGTTTACTGGAAACAAATTACA